CTTATCTTGGGAGTCACGATGGAGTGGGATAGACCAGAATCCATTGGCAATGTCCAGTACAGTAAAGATTTTGTGGGCCGGGGAGAGCCCGCTCAAGATTGTGGACGGGCTGGCCACGATGGGGTGCAACTTCGGTGTGACCTTACTTAGGGCTGTGTAATCAATTGTGAGTTGGTAGCTTCCATCAGGTTTACTCACTGGCCAGGTGGGGGAGTTGGTGGTACTTGTGGTTTCTCGGAGAATTCCCTTTTCCATTAGCCCTTCAATGATTTCCACAACTGCCCTCTTAGCATCCAGTTTGATGGGGTACTGTCGGTGTGGTTTATGTTCCAGGCCTTCTACTACTATGGGGTCAATTTTAATTAGCCCGGTATCTAGCTTAGTTTCTGCCCATACCCCTGGGACGGAGGTGCAAATGGCGCCAAACCCATTGTCCTCCAAGTGCCAATCACGTCCTGTCACAGATGCGGCTTGGACAATTTCCAAATGGCTTGCATAGGCTCCCATTTTCTCCTTTCTCCCATCGGGACAGGGCCAAATTATTCACCTTTCCCGCAATCTATTAGTACCTCATACTCTTTCATCAAATCGTTTCCCATGATAGTTCCTCCATTATTTTTACACACATAAAATCGCATTGGTATATACAAATTATTAATTTCCACCAAAGTGGTTTCACTTAAGTACGCAGGGGTTTTTTGCCCACTAATGCCCTTTACATAGATCATTTTGTTAGTTGTGGGCAGGGGTAGATCAGCGATGGATATGGAGGCTCCCGTGCCCACCAGCATCTCACATTGTCTGTCCCCTACTAGTGCAGACACGTAAATCCTACCTTCCTTATTACCCGTGCCCTTGGGGGCTGCCGGACGTCAGTCCGTCTCCCTTTGAGAAGTTGCGGTTGTTGGTTTACCATGTTTTTCCCACCATGTGCCCTCAGAGTGGCCCTTCTTGCCGCAATGTTGGCAAGTGCTTCCAGACCTCCCTTTGTTCTGTTTTGGGGCTCTACATTCCCTGGCAAAGTGCCCCGTCTTGCCGCAGTTGTGGCAAGTGGATTTCGGTTTTATCTTTGTCACGGCACCTAAGTTTTCTTGTTTTATTCGAATGGGGGGTCTTTCTGCCATCCCTTCTTTAATTCCAGATGCCCATTCTACCAACCCGTCATAATCTCTGGTGGCAATCACCCCCATCTTCAGGACTGCCTGGTGAGCGGGTGATAACCCATCTTTGAATGCCTGTATAAATGCCCTATCAGTACGGTTTGTATCTGGCATCCCTGAACATTCTTGATATACCTTGAACAATCGTTCCCCGTATTCAGATGCCCCTTCTCCCTTCTGTTGTTTTGTGTTTGTGATTTTGGACCAATTGGTGGGGGCATTTCCCAGGACCGGTTGGACTTCGGCCTTAAAGCGGTTAAAGGGTTCTTCTTGTGCCTCTCTTTCGGCTGTTAATTCTATGGCATGAGTCCACCGTCCACCTCGGTGATCGTGTTTAGCTTGGGCTGCAGCGTCAGCCTGACCAGAATCGTCCCCCATTAACTGCCATTTATCTTGCGGGCAAGCCGCTCGGACAAGTTGGTGTACATCTCATAGGTGTAATTGGTGCCCCACCCAAGTAGTGTCTAATTTGGCCCAGAATTTAGCATTGGCGCTTCTAGGTTGTAACTTTCCCAGGGACGCCAATATCTGTTGTCTTTCTCCTGGTGTGAAGGGCTGATATCTAGCAGTTGGGGCTGCCAGAGTCCCGCCCCGGGTTACCGGGGCGAGGTTAACTTCCTCACTCAGACTCTGCTCTGGGGCAGTGGGCCCTTCCCTGGGATGGTATGGGGGCAAGGGTCCCCACTGACCCTCTGCTAAGAACTGGTTCCTTTTTTCTAGTTCTCTAATTCGTGATTCTAGGATCCTTTTTCCCTCCGTCCACCTCCTCGTGGACTCTGATGTCTGCTCTATAAGGCCGGCCAATTGATGTACTAAAAGGACTGCGGTTTTCTTAGTCCTATCTTTCTTCTGTCTTAAGACCCAATCTCGCTGTTGTTCTAGGGCCTGGGACGGATCCCATCCCCCCTTTTTCATCTGTTTAATGAGTGAATGTCTATCTGTCATATACTGATCAATGAGAGACCCCAGGGGTCCCCATTGATCTTCCTTCCCCGCCATGACAAACGATAGGTTTATACTCACGATCTCCCCTGATCTCTCGACTGCGTTTAACCCACCGGCCACGTCCCATTCGTGTTTTCCCACTGGCAGCGTCTCACTCGGGGTCGTTCCTATCAGAGTCCGGCAATACCTATTGTGAGAGTGATCAAGTCCCCGTATCCCGCTTATTTCAATTCTCTCTCGGCGGTCTCACAACATTACACTCTCACGTTATGTTTGAGTATCACATCCCAGGTACCCCTTCTCCAGTCTCTACACCCACTTCAGGGTCCTGACCTTCGCGTGGGGGATTTCCCCTCTTAACAACCGGTCTAAGGTTGCGTGTTAGAGACAGGTACCTCCTTGTCCGTTTTAGCTCAACTCAAACGACAGACGGTCTCACATTCACACTCAACAGATTATTGAATACTGTGGTCCAACTCACTTAACTTTGTGTTCGGTATCCTGTCCTGGTATCTGGGCTGTGGCCACGCTGCCCAGACCGTAGACAGACTCCTGCCGACTGCGCCAATTTGTTGTAGGTAAAATATGACCAAGTACAATTCTGTAGTGAGACAAAGGAAAGGATCATGGGGAAGAGGAGGAATATCAAGTGAGATAATGAAATGGCTTACAGTCACAGAGGGGAGATTGAAGAAGAACAGATAGACAACAGAGGAAAGGAGAACGTCATCAACAGCAATAGGAGGAAAATGTAGTGTAGAGGGAGGGGTGTACAGGGTGAGCAAACCAAATGAAAAATTAACAACTATCTTCCTCCTGAATCATCTCACACAAGAAATCCTCACAAACAATGTGCAGTACAAATATAAGGGCCTGAGATCTCTTTCAAAGAGTTCATACACAGAGCAAATACACCCAAATGAGGGGATTGAAACAGAAACCGAAAAATACTATTGCATGAGCATTCCACCATTGCTGATATTGAAATTTGAATCCAATAAACAAAAATTGCTTTAAAAAGCCAGCTTAATGACAACAAATATACGATGAACTGAGAAGAATGTAATTGCATGAAAATCTTGTTCTGAGAGAAGTACCACCTGCTTCAGTCCCAACTTCACTCTTAGTCTCAAAAAACAACAAGAATCTGTCCCCTGTATGGGATCTTATCAAAGGCCTTTGGAAAATCCCAATACACCATATGCACTGGACTTCTTTTATCTCTGCTACAAAGTATATCCTCAAAAAAACTCCAACACGTTTGTCAAACACAAGTTCCTTTTATAAATCTATATTAGCTCTGTCTAATTTTACCATTATTTTCTAAATGGTCAGTTATCATAACCTTTAAAACAATTTCATACATTTTCACTATTACTTACATCAACCTACAGGTCTGTAGTTTTCCATTCTCCCTCTTCTCCATTCTTAAATAGAGGGCTTTCATTTGTTACTTTTCGGTTTGCAGGAACCTTTCCAGAGTCTATAAAATTCTGAAAGACAACTGCTAATATATCCATTGTCTCCAAAACTACTTCCTTCAAAACTCTAGGATGTAGCGCATCCGGTCCAGATTATCAACATATAATCCAATTACTTTTCCAGGTATTACCTCTTTATGTATACTAATTTACTTCAGTTCCCCAGTTTCATAAGTTTCTTGATTACCTAGTTTTTTGGGAGATTTTCTGTGATAACAGACAAAGTAATTGCTTAGTTTCTGAAGCTGCTGTAAAAATTTGTCAGCTGCTGTAAAATGTAAAAGTCCAAAATCATAGACAGTTACTCTCAGACAATTAAGTACATAAGGTGTGTTAATTTATGGTGCCTGGAGGGTAAGGGTGCAGCCCTCCAAATAAGTTGAGCCTCAGCTAGCTAGAGTGCCAGGTGGCCAAGTAAATGATGCAGTGATGATTTTGATTTTATTGTCATGTGTATTCAAGTACAAAAGAACAGAAGTACAGTGAAAAGTGTATAATGTCGCCACACAAGGAACCATTTTAGGTAGAAGTGCGTACGCACAGAATCTTAAGAACAAGGCAGAAAGAAAGAACAAAGAGTAAAACGTTGCAGTTGTTATAGTATAGTGTTAAACAAACGAAATAAGTTAAAAGTTACACATTGCAGACCTTCTTAATTTTAAATAGAAAAAAGAAATAAGGGGCTAGGGAGGAAATCAGTTCTGGCACTGGTGATGGAGAGTGATTGTCAGTTTGGTGGAGGGGTGTTGAGGTCCGGAACTGGGGGAAGAAGGGGTCAGATCCAGTGCGATATAGATGAGAGTTCGTGTCCCGGGAAATCGGGCACGGGCGGAGTGATGGTGGCTGATCTGGTCTTGAGTGGGGGGAAAGGGGTGAGGAATGAGTGCATGGGTCTGGAGCATGTAAAGGGAGGGTCAGCACCAGAGGGTGAAAGAGGGATGGGCTCTCGGCGTTGAAGAGGGCTTGAGTTTGAATCGGGTGAATGCAGGGTTGGCTCGAAGGTGGTGACGGGTTTCGGATCTGGGGGAAAGTGTGGGGCCTTTACAGCAGGGTGAATGGTGTTTAGTTCCAGGGAGCTGTCACGTTACGGTCTGTTCGGGTAACTTTTCCTGAGTAACTATTTTCATAGTTTTATCGGAATCCTTCGAATTTTCCGATTTGAAAGGAGATTTTCGGAGAGTTCCAGGGAACAGAGGAATCCCGCAGGGTCCCCAGGCCCAACTCCATCTCCGCTGGAATAACAACCGTGTGTCCATCGGAAAATCTGGATGGTGTTTACTCCAAGTTCGAGGTCACTCGAACCTGAAAAACATTTCTCACCCAGGCTATGTGTTTTTTTTTGTGAATATATCCCGAAGTACAAACAGATTCACAGTGAATCGGATGACACAAACTGGCCCAGATCGCAGGCGGTGATTTCTGTCGATAATTCGCGATGAAGAGGGAGCCTTTGGATCGCGCGCTGTCAGGAGGCGGTGACCTCTGACCGCGGGTTCAACCCTCCTCGGGTCACGGGTCACAGGTCAGACGGGGGTGGGGAGGTGAACCACTTCCGGGAGCGGATGGCGGCTGCTGTCTCGTCCGTGCGGAGAATGGGGAGCGGTTTCACCTTCATCGGTGAGTGAGTGAATTCACAGAGAGAGAGAGACTCCCCCCAAACCCGTCTCTCGCCCCTCAATGTCCCCGAGACCTGCCGCCGACAGTGGGGCACATGTGCCAGTACCGGGCCGGTAGAGGCCGCACTTCCCCCGGACCGATCTATGGCCCTTGGAAACCTCACTGCCTCCCCCCACGTCTGCGCCTCACCGTTCACCATCCTCCCAGTCTGCAACCCCCCACCCAGCCAGGAGTGAAGAACAATATTTATAGAAAGTGACAGTGAGGCATAGGTACAAGATAATAATAATAGATCAAGTGAATGTGTTGGATGCTCAGAAGGAAATAGAAGGTGCCTAGAGAGACAATCATTTAAGTCCTGAAGTATGTTCACTTGAGGTGTACCATGCAAGAGAATACTAGGAAAGTTAGCATGCAGCTTGATGCTGAAGGTATAATTCTGCTCACCTTTCCCACGGTCCTGAAGTCCAGAAGGTTGGAGACACCACTGTCCTGTTGCTAATTTCCTTGCTCAAATCAAACATGCCTACTTGGTTGGAAAGGTTGTCCTCTTCCTCCTATCCTTGAGAGCTCACCTCATTACGATCCATCAGATATCACTCCAGGACATATGGGAAGAGTGAGAATTGTGGGTAGCAGCTTTTCCAAGTGCCCTCTTCATTCCTGTAGTTAATACAACATAAAGTGCCCCAAGTACTGAGGATGTAGTCTGTTCCAGCCTGTGCCATCTTTGTCCCTTTCATAAGAAGTTCTTCCTTTGACAGCTCAAATGTTTCATCCTACAATGTTCCCTGATTAACTGGGGAATGCAAAGGTGAGGTATAACTGAGTTGAAGAGCTTTCTATTCAGGTTCCTGACCTACTACTGTTTCCACCATTTGAACAGTGACTTGGGAGGTAGTGGTAATGTCACTAGACTATCCATCCAGCCCCCCATGTGAAATCCCTGGGGAAAAAGGTTTGAATTCAACCATGGCAGGTGATGAAATTTGAATCCATAAAGAGCTGTTCTAATCATGACTATTTAGCCACTGTCAATTAGTCATAGAGTCCTAGAGATGTACAGCATGGAAATAGATCCTTCAGTCCAATTCATCCATGCCGACCAGACATCCTAAATTATTTTAGTTCCATTTACCAGCATTTGGCCCATGGCCCTCTAAACCCTTCCTATTCATGTATCCGTCCAGATACCTTTTAAATGTTGTAATAGTACCAGCCTCCACTACCACTTCTTACCATATATACACCACCCTCGATGTGAAAAAGTTGTCCATAGGTCCCTTTTAAATCATCCCTCTCTCACATTCAGCCCATGCCCTCTAGTTTTGCACTCCGCTACCCTGAGGAAAAGACCTTGGCTATTTACTCTATCTGTGCCCCTCATGATTTCACAAACCCATATAAGGTCACGTCTCAGCCTGTGATGCTCGAGGGGAAAATAGCCCCAACTCCTATTCAGCCTCTTCCTAAAGCTCAAACCCTCCAACCCTGGCAACATCCTTGCAAACTTTTCTGAACCCTTTCAAGTTTGACACATCCTTCCTATTATTAGGGAGACCAAAATTGAATGCAGTATTCCAAAAGTCAGCTCATCAATGTCCTGTATAACCGCAATATGACCGACCAACTCCTATGCTCAGTGCTCTGACCAATAAAATTGTTGTAAAAACCCATCTGGGTTCACTAATGCCCTTTTAGAGAAGGAAATATGCCAGCCTTCAATGGTCTGGCCATTACATGACTGTGAACTACCCTTTGAGCAATTTAGGGTGGGTAATGACTACAGGATAAACCAGCGATGAATGAATTTATTTTACCAAAAAAAAGTTGGAAAATTCCACCCGTTGTCCTGTCTGAATCAACTGACTGACTTGAGAGTACAATTAATGCTTCGAACTAGGAAGCAGAAAGATGAATCATTCTTGTTCTTGGTTGTTAACTGGTAACTACTGTAAGAGACTAATAACAATATCAGACTTGATTGAATTCCAGTCCTAGCCCCACACTTCAGGGAACACAAGTTGAGTTAATGCAGTACCTCTGATCTTTCACTGCACTATTAGTCAGTATGTTTAAGGAAGAGGGCAACACATTTAAAACACTTGAAAGTGGTGAAATATTTATCACTTCAGATCATTGCGATTTTGTTTTTGGACACAGCTTTATTATATTTTTTGTAGCAGTCTTCTCTCTAAAATTATGAGATCTTAGAACATTGAAAAAAGACTGCAAGTTAGTATATATCAAAGGTTTAGCTTGTTTGATTTACAGCTGGCCTAGTTTTCCACCATGAATGGGAAATTATGTGCAATGTGAATCAAATATACAGCATTGAACTGTATGTCATGTTAAAATTTAACCTATTGTAAAAACTATATCTCTTACTGTATTTTTGATTATGAACTGAAATGGGGAACATAACTGTTTTTAAAACCAAAGATAGTCGAAGGATTGCTGCATTTTTTTATAAGCAAGAATACAAGGAGAGCTAGCCATTGGATACAGAATGGCCTCAAAGGTGGGAGACCGAAGGTGGTGGTGGAGGGTTGCTTTTCAGACTGGAGGCCTGTGACCAGTGATGTGCCTTAAGGATCGGTACTGGCCCACTGCTTTTTGTCATTTATACAAATGACTTGGATGTGAACACAGGACGGGTGGATAGTAAGTTTGCAGATGACACCAAAATTGGTGGTGGTGTGGCCAGCCAAGAAGATTACCTCACAGTACAAAAGGACCTTGATCCGATGGGCCAATGCACTGAGGTGTGGCTGATGGAGTGTAATTTAGATAAATGTGAGGTGGGGTAAGGTCCTGGGGAGTGTTGCTGAACAAAGGTACCTTGGAGTGCAGGTTCATAGTTCCTTGAGAGTAGAGTCGCAGGTAGACAGGATAGTGAAGAAGGTATTTGATATGCTTGCTTTTATTGGTAGTACATTGAGTATAGGAGTTGGGAAGTCATGTTGTGGCTGTACAGGACATTGGTTAGGCCACTTTTGGAATACTGCATTCAGTTTGGTCTCCTCTCTACTATAGGAAGAATGTTGTGAAACTTGAAAGGGTTCAGAAAAGATTTCCAAGGATGTTGCTAGGGTTGGAGGGTTTGAGCTATAGGGAAAGGCTGGATAGGCTGGGACTATTTTCCTTGGAGCATCGGAGGCTGAGAGGTGACTTTATAGAAGTTTATAAGACCGTGAGCATAGATAGGGTGAATAGCTAAGGTCTTTTTCCCAGCATGGGGTGTCCAAAACTAGAGGGCATAGGTTTAAGGTGAGAAGGGAAAGATATAAAAGGAACCTAAGGGGCACCCTTTTACACAGAGAGTGGTGCTTGTGTGCAATGAGCTGCCAGAGGAAGTGGTGGAGGCTGGTACAATTATAACATTTAAAAGGCATCTGGATGGGTATATGAACAGGAAGGGTTTAGAGGGACGTGGGCCAAATGCTGGCAAATGGGACTAGATTATTTTAAGATATCTAGTCAGCATGGATGAGTTGGCGAAGGATCTATTTCCATGCTGTACAGCTCTATGACTCTAAGTAATCTGATTCATTCTAAGTACTGTTTGCACAGTTGCTTTTTCAAGTAGTTGTGGAAATCTAGTTTGCAGACAAGTTAGAGCCAAAGGATGTGTATGATTGGAGCTTTGGCTGGTAACAAGTAGCTGATTGGTCTGTAGACAAGGGACCAGTTGTCAATAACAGAGCCTTCTGCCTTCCAACATATGGGATTGGCTATAAAGTGGCTGAACGACTTGGCAGCATGAATGTTTGGGAGAAGCAACTGGGGCTCTGCAAAAGCAAAATTTGCCTCTTTTCTCTGCAGCAAAAAACTACTTTAATCCAGAAGGAACCCAGTTTATTTCTCCTTTCCTGTTGCTTCAACCTGTGAATTCTAATTGATAAGTCAAAGACCTTTTATGAGTGTGAACCAGTCACCCTGTACTGTCTGCAAACAAATGAAAATAGTTGCAGAAAGAAAACTGGTAGGCAGTGTTCTCATCAGCAAAAGGATCATCGCAGAAAACCCTGTGGACAGGAACCACTGAACCATCTTTCCTTCCACCCATAATACCCATTTTTTTCTCTCCCTGTATGTGTGTGTTGAGGGGAAGTTTATAAGGCAGTTTGAATTTCAGCTAGTAGATTTATATGCCAAAGGTTCATGATTGTTTACGTGTAGCAAGAATTTACTTGTAAAGAACGCCTGGATGGGCTGGGAGATTTTTTCATGTAGGAGGTTGAGACGTGACTTTATATAGAGATTTATAAGATCATGAAGGGTTAATGGTAGGTGCCTTTTCCCTAAGATGGGGAATTTCAACACTAGGGAAACATATTTTTAAGGTGAGAGGAGAAAGATTTAAAAAAGATATGAGGGGCAAATTTTTACAGAGGGTGGTTTGCGTGTTGAACGAACTTCCTGAGGAAGTGGTGGATGCCGGCACAGTTGTAACACTTAAAAGACACTAAGATAATACATGAATAGGAAAGATTTGGCAGGATATAGGCCAGGAGCTGGCAGGTGGTACTAGTTTAGTTTGGGGTTATGGTTTGGGCGTGGATTGGTAGGACTGATGGGTCTGTTTCCATGCTGTATGACTCTATGCCTCTAAGTAGTCATCCTCTTTAAGTACAGAAACTTGGTCTATACCTTGTCAACCTGGGTAAGTTGGGGGATTGTGTGTTCTTCTCTAAAATCTTCAACTTTTGTGATAACTCTCAGAATAGTGGGGCTTGATTTCCAGCATGCTCCCCCAATGAAATGTAACACGTACTGAATAGAAGTTGTGGCGCTTGCCTTTCAGAAGGGAAATAGAAACACTTGTATTTTTATACACCTTTCATGACCTCGGTGTTCTATAACATTTTATAGCCATTGAAATGCCTTCAAAGTGTAGGTAGCATGTCACGGCCATCAAGCGTCTCTGTGTGGTCAGTGAACTGTGAATTAAGAATCTTTTAGATTTGATTTGTATTACAATTTTTTTTAAAAAGCAGCAAAGTTTTAGCTTTAAACAACATTTAAGATTAGTTTGTTACAATATTGCTGAAAGTTAAGTAAAAAATATGGTAGTTTTTAGATAAAATACAGATACAAAGATTAAGCATAAGTAGGGATAAATGATACCCCTAAAATGAAAGCCAGTTCTGCTTATTAGCATTGCAGGCTCATTATTTGAAAACTTCTCGTTCCAAGGTGAAGGACACTTCAGAAAATATTAGTTTTTCAGTAGCATTCGTTCCTGTAATGGTTCATAATGCTGTGTCACCAAATCTCAAATTTGTTACTGTGCTGTAGCTCTAAATGCGTAATGGAATCTCACAGATCCATTCATAGTACAAAAATAAATATCACTTCTCACTTTTTAAAAATCATAATAGATCTTCTATTTTTATGAATGTAAAATAACTTACCTTGATTTTCTCAGATTTTCCGTTTGTGTGTATCCTTTCTCTTGTCTGCAGTTCGTTTAATTGTCTTTATTTCTTATTAATCACTTCAGTTTCTTTAATTTTTTAAACAGACATTGGAATAAACTTGACAGATCCAATGTTTCGTGGGATTTATCGTGGCTCGCGGAAACATCAAGGTAAATCTTGACACATAACTACAATTAGTTTACATTTTGTTAAAAGAACAAGACTCTAAACCTTTGTGAAATTCTGTTGTATGTCCATGCACAGAATGCTAATATACTTAAAGTGTTATTTTGATTAGACACGACCGAACCGTGAAATTTTATATGTAAACAGTAAGTTAAACTTCTGATCCCTTTAATGGGCATTAATGAGCTCTGATTTCATGTTAATCTATTGACTTGCTGTAAGGAGTAAGGTGGTTTGGGGTTAGATTTATTTAGTGCTGTTGGCATAGCTCCAGGACTGACTATGTCAAATGATAAGGGTTAAATATTTTCAGCCGTTTAATAGACTTCCCGCACCTCTTTTGTTTAGGATACAATTGCTTGTGAAATTTTCCTTTTTGCGGCATTAGAGGGAAGAAAAAAAGTGCTAATTCAGTTCTAGTGTGCTGGCACTAATGCTCATGGAGTGACTCCTAGTGGTAGTAAGGGTATTCTAACTCTTTGTATAGGTTTAGTAAGTTCAATTTTTCTTGCAAAATCCTAATCCAACAAAGTAATATTACAGTTGCTAACAAAGTTTGTTTCTAAAGACATAATCTAATTCAAAAGTTCTGCATTTAAAAGAAACAATTTACACAGAGGCAAAAATACCGAAAATATGAATTTCATCCAGTGCAAAGACAACATTAAAATAGCCTTTTAGCTTTTTAGTTTTTTTTGGTTTGTTTGTACAAGATTCTTTCAAATATTCTGGATATTCAGTTAAAGCTATGATTGGAGATGGTGTTGTATAACTTCTAAACATTTATTGTTGCTGTTGACAAAATATACCACATGCTATTAGGGATAACAAGGTGTAGAGCTGGATGAACACAGCAGGCCAAGCAGCATCAGAGGAGCAGGAAGGCTGACGTTTCGGGCCTAGACCCTTCTTCAGAAAAACTTTTTT